GAGAAGAGATATCAACCTAGCGACTGTTACCCCAGGAGAGTTTGTTCCAATTCTCTCTATAGTTAGTATTTTTATTTTTTCATGATATGCAATGAGGGCATTGCATAAAATAAGTGTGGGGTAGGGGTTGGTCACATATTAGTAAATTTAGAATCTTAATTTAGGCTAATTCTAAAAAAAATTGTTGCATACCAAAAATATTACTTAGGAATTAATTTAGAAAATTTTGGTAAAAAGCAATTAGAATTCCATGTTAAAATTGTGTTGATAATTGTATTAAAACCCAAATGTTTAGTTGAGCCTATATACGTTATAGTGCATTTGTGGCTTCCTTATTCCAGTGAAATCATGGGACAAAAACACGACCTCGCTCAGCTTGAGGGATGCAATATGTTTAGCATCGTGTACCAGAAATGTATCCAGGAAAATTATTATCGTTAACCAATAAAGGATGAAGTTGAGCGCCCCTGCTTAAGCATGTAGGGTTTTGAGTGAAAAAAGTGAGGTACATGTAAAAAAAGAGAGAGAAAATTACAAGAAAATTTTGAAGAAATTTTGGAGCATCAAAGTCAAATATGAAATTAGAAGATAAAAAATTCCGCAGAAATTCAAAAAGTTGAAGATACCAAAAACCAAACAAAAAGGTGGTGAATTCAAAGAAATCAAAGATCAAATGTCAAAGAAATGAAGAATTCCAAAGAGCTCCAATGTGGTATCATAAATTGTAATTATCTAGATTATGTATGCTTGGGTTGCTCAACCAAAAATACCTTGAGGTTAAGAGGTTTTCTGAGGATGGATTCGGAGGGATGCATAAAATGAGCATAGTTCGGGGTGAGTGGGCGAGTGTTTATGAGGATTGTGAGTATTTTGGAGTATGGTGGTATTTAGAAAAATTTTAGACACAAATGCATGCGTTGCGGTCTTGGCATAATGGCTAGGTTAGATTGGAGTTGTCATATGTGGTTCTAATATGTTAAAATTCAGTTTTGGTTGGAGGCAAGCAAAAGTCAAGTGTGGGGTATTTTGATATTTGCATAATTAGTCATATATTTAGCATACCTTTTTATTCATTTTTAGCTAATTATGTATATAATGTGGACAAAAGGTACTTAATAATGCTTAAATTTTGTTTTCAGTCCAAAAGACATGCTTGGAAGTGAAAGGAAACAAGGGGAAGAAATTAGAGACCAAAGAATGAAGAATGAGGAACAAAAGCATAGCTACTCGGCGAGTTCTCGATGCTACTCGGCGAGTACCCAATAATATTCCAGAAGATAAGTCAAGACTCCTGGCATGAGACGAATTTTATGCATCTACTCGGCGATTTGGGTCTTCTACTCCCAGAGTACACCCTGTTTTGTGATAATTATACATATCAAACCATAATCTGAATGGAAAGGACTTCTGGCGTTTTTGAGAGCTGCACCTGCGAAAAAGAACCCTTTAAGGATCTGAGAAACCCTAACCTTCAATCATTTGAAGAATCAAGGCAATTTAGGTTATTCATTCCACTTAGCCTTAGGAATTAAGCATGTTTAGCTTAGTTGAATTTGTTTTTGAGTTTGTTTTTGCTATGACTATGAACTAAATTCATTTTGTTTCTGTTGGGGAAGACCAAGTTACTCCTATGGTTTAATTAGACTTTTTGATTGATTGTTATTTGGTGATTTTATTAAATTAAGTTTGTTAAAGAGCCTTATGCATTAATACCAACTATTTTCTGTTAATTGGAAGACAATTAAGTTGCATGAACATTTCTTAGTTTTTAACCTCATATGTTATGTGAACACTCTATCATATGCCTAGGAATAATGAATATGAAACTAGGATTAATTAGAGAATGGGTAAATTAATGTGTGAGCTTGTTTGAGAAACCAACATACAAGAGGTTAAGTGAAACACCAACTTGAATAACCAATTACAAATCTTAGTTAATCCAAACAATTGAACTAGGGAATTAATTAGTTTAAATAATTGGCCACTGCTTGAATTGATTAATTGTCTAAGGGTTAGGAGTAATGAACATGAACCTAACCACTATAGTTGGTAACCAATAATAATTGATTTATCATTTAAATAACCATAGGAGTGAATTGGTTGAACCTAAACAGAAACCCTTTATTGAATTTGGTGAATTTGTCATCTGCTTTTAGTTAAGTGGTTAAGTGTTGTGTTTAAGTTTCTAGTCTTGTAAAACTAGAGAAAAACCCTTTTACTTTTATTACTTGCTTAGTTAAAATTAGTTATTAGATTAATTTTCGTTCCCTGAGTTCGACACCCTACTTATCCAACTATACCACTAAAAGAGGTTCACTTCCTTTGTGTGCTTAATTTATCAACTAAAAGTAGGATTAAAACTAGCCCGTTTCACACACATCAGTCCTTTGCGGGAAAGGAAAAGGAAAGATCACAAATGGGGATTACATCAATTGGTGAATTACGGTTTGAATTTTCTGACTCTTCTATTCTCTGTGATAATAATGCTGACTTTCAATTGTCTAAAAACATTTTTTTTTCTAAAATGAAGATCGTGATTGTGGGATTTCTTAAGATGATACGTTTCAAAGACTAAAAATTCTTTTCATTTTTTTAGTATTTCTTATTCTCTTTCATTTTGTTTTACTTTTAGGAAAGGAAATTTGTGACAATCTTTTGGGAAGTGATATGAGTTAGTGATAAAGGGAAAATGAAATACATGTAATGCACTTAAGTTGAATTTTCTAAACTCTTTGTTCAATGTGTTGGTAGGCATAAGGGACTAAAACTAATGAACTAGATAATGTGGACTCATTTGAACTTAGAAAACCTCTTTTGGACTGACAATACAACGCTTGGATATATTTAACAGTAAAATAGACAAGGAGGCCTATGACATAAATTGAAGCTAACTATCATCTAGTTATGTGGCTCAATACTTAATTGGCGTATGGACTTGTGTCCTTAATTCTTGTATTAGTAGGGGATGACTAAGGGGTTCTAATAAATTGGGTCTGTTTAAAATCGTTATTCTTTCTTTCTTAGTCAGCCATATGTTGTCCCCTCTGCGTGATCGGAAGATCTGACCCGTGACACAACATATGCACTCAGATGATGTTCACTGCTTTTATGTCAGTATATTGTCTATTACAAATATCCTACTGCTATGTTAGTCATATGTTTTCCCCTCTGCATGATCGGTGGATCCGACATGGGACACAACATATGCATTCCACAATGATTATCTACTCACCTAAAGTAAAGGATTCTGAAGAAATTTCCTTGAATACTGGGGTATGCCATGAAGTGGAGAACATGTTCCAGTATACTAACGCTAACTGCACCCATAACTAAAGGTTGACTGGTAGATTTTACTGACTAAATTTAAGTGGACAACAATATTCATGATCGTCGTCACACAAAGCGGTCTATCTAGGAATATTGTAGCTATATATCGTCACTCATGATCTGTCCTGAAAATATCCTTTGTGTTTAAGCAGATCACAATATCAATGATTGACCAGAGTTTTTCATGAACGTGTGTGCTGATAAACATCATTAATTTGCTTCATAACGTTTGATCGCAAATTTTTTTGTTCTAATAGAATTTGTTTATTACATTTTTGTTTTTAGTTAAATTTGTACACATTTTCATTGTTATGCATAAATTTAGGGGGAGAAATAATAAAATAAAAAATAACAAAAAATAAATATAATAAAAATGTGTGTTTAATTTATTTTTATTTTTGTTTTGGTTTTTGAAACGTAAAATTGAAAGAAATCGTTTTATTAAAATTGGGTTATTTTTTTCTTAGGCCGAAATCGTTTAAGTGGGCCATATGGGCCATTTTTCGGTAGTATATATACTGTGTTTTCGGCTGATTAGGGTTTCTCTCTGAAAAACCCGAAGTAGCCATTGACGTATTCTCTCCTCTTTTTCGAGTTTTTCTGCTAAAACCTACTCAGTTGTTGCTTTTGTTGCAAATTGTTCGGTGAATCATGTATTTTTTATGTTTTCGATCATGACAATGGCATTTAGGTTGTTTTTGGTGTACTCGGTCTCATAGATTTGTAGGTTTTCGAGTGGATTTTTCAAGGTTTTCAAAGAACTGAGTTGGAACAGGTTCCGATGAGATTTTGGGTTTTTGGTTTAACCTGGATTCGACCGAAAACAGATGAAGATCTGACCCAATCTGGCCGAAATTTGGGTTCTCGGCCAAAATCAACTAGTGTTGACCAAAATCGTCTGGTCAACAAAATGATTTTGACCGAAATTGATCAGCTTTGATCGAAATCAACTGAAATCTTGACTTTATCAAAATCGATTGAAATCTTAACTTTAACAAAAAACGACTGAAACTTTGTCTTTGACCGAAATCGACTAAATTTTTTACTTTAACCGAAATCCGACTTCAGACTCAGTTTAATTAACTTTTGAATTAATTCTCAATTGGATAGTTTGGTGCAGATAAATGGCAGAGCAAGTTAAATTCATAGAATCTCACAACATTGTTGGATATCTCATGGATCCTCCTGCTGCTCATCAAGAATTCCAATCCATGATGGTGGGTTTCAACAATTGTAGGACATCTCAAGCTTTTCATGCCAATCCAGTCATTCACAGAGGCCTGATCACTGATTTCTGGAAAAAGGCTTCGATCAATAAGCTAGGAGAAGATAGATCAGGTACAGTGGAATCTTTGGTGAAAGGAGCACAAATGATAATCTCTTAACAAGTTATCCGAGAGGTACTTGAATTTGGTGATGCTTCTGCATTCTAAATTGGGTACTCTGTTGATTGCGTCAAGGAAGTTCTGGAGAAAATGTGTTATGAAGGAACCTATCCTCCCACTTTTAAGAAGCTACTACCACAATGCTGGAGGTTCTTGGCACACTCCTTTGTGATTTGCATATCTAGAAGAAAGGGAGGCTCTGATGAAATTAGTCAGACCGTGACCTCAGCCATTGTCGCTCTAGCTATGGACTAGGATTACAACTTCTCAAAGTTTGCCTTTGAAGAGATGAAGAGCAACCTCCCGGGAAAGAAAAAGAACCTATTTTTGATGTATCCCAGGTTTCTTCAAATGATCTTTAATGAAAAATATCCCCAAATCAAAAGGACGTCTGATACTTTGGATATGAAAGCTTTGGGTCCCAACACTTGTGGACTCATGAAGCAATCGAGAAAGGCTACCAAAGTTGCTTTTCAAGGATTAAATGAGTTAGTTAAATTTGGAAAGTTTGTTGAGGTTGAAGACACTCCTGTTGTTAGTTCTATATATGCTGAGCTTGCCGATGAACACATGGCACCGAAACCAAAATTTCAATTCGCCTTTGAATATTTTATTCAACAAAGTATTTCAAACCCAGAAGAGGATGCAGCTGTCACACCTTCGGTTGTGACTGAAAGAGAATGTGACACAATGGTGCAATCTTCCATACCAACCCCTAAACAGATTGATACTCTCATAGCAGAACTTCAACTAACTGCAAGGAAGCCTCACCAAACACTTCCTGTCGATACTGAACCTCCATCTGAAAGTGATCCAGACAACTCAGCCCACACTTTACTCCCAAGGAAGCGAAAAAGAAGAGATCCAAGGCCGGGAGTGTTTATCACTGACCCAGTTCAAAAGAATTCTACTCCAATTGAGCCTGGTTTTATCGCTCAACCCCTACAAAGCCCATTCACTGAGTCCTCTCCAGTGATTCAAGAAATATCAATCCTATTACCTGATCCGACTCCTATGGATTAGGATTGCCAAAGCCCTATTGTTGAAACCTTGAAGAGAACAGAAAGCAATAAACCAAGGGGGATATTGTTGGGCTATAATTAGTGGTTTATGCTTTGATTTGAATGTATTATGTGTTCTCGGTTTTGGACGAAAATCACCTAGTTATTTCGGTGCGCTTAGTGTGTTTTCAGTAGGCTTATTATGTATGGGCTTTAGGTTATGTTCTAGATGATGCATTTTTGATAAACTCTAGCGATTCACAACTGAAGTGTGATTGAATGTACTTGACAATTATTAAATAGAATTGTGTGCATTCATGTCATTTAAACATATATCTAATTGATTGTTCTGTATCATTGTTTGGTTAAGATTCCACATTAAATCAAACAATTCCATTGATACTTTGATAGATCCAAGTTCAGGGACTTACATGATAACTTCCCAAGAGCATCCTCGATGTTGAGGTTCTCTAAGCTGAAATCTACAGCCTCAGAAGTCTTTCGCTTTCGGGATCCTGAAGTCTTAACTATAAGGTCTATATAAGATATCTTGGGAAGAGGAATAATGACACCTTTTTCCTGCTTAACCTTGATCGAACTGCCGGTCACATCATCTTTAAGATCTACCAAAACAAAACGAGCCTTGGACCGGGTAGTCTTAGAACCTGTTGATGAGATTTGGAATCGAGATTGAATGTAATTCTAGAAGTAATTGAGTAAAGTATTGAAACGATGAACATGAGAGTAAATAGAATCTTTGATCAACTCATATTATACCTTTCAGTTTACAGAATACAATGAAAAAACTGTAAAACTGTGTGTAAAAGTTGTCTCTAGATCACTAGTACATACCCCTATTTATAGGAGAATAAAAGCATAACAAAATACTAAGGACTAAACATTAATCCTTCACTTTATAACGCCTTAGTAA